AAAMYCATAGGAAAGTCTAGTTTTTGGCGCTTTTTGCCATTATTAATCTGCGGGGTAGTATATTAATCTGCGGGGTAGTATATAGGCACCCAAATTCAAGCCCTGATAATTTCTTGCAATGCTTGTCTTCACTGCAGATTTCATAAACATTCTAAATTCCAACTTTTTTGAGCCTCATATTATAAAACCAACTAGAATTACTGATCATACTTCGACTCTAATAGACAACATCTTTTTTAATGCAATTGACTTTAATTTCACRAGTGGTAATATAACCTATGATCTATCAGATCATTTGCCTAATTTTCTGATTATTGATGAATTTAAAAAGGTAAACTCTAGAGAACCAGTTTATAAACGTGACTTTTCAAAAGTCAACAAGGAAGCAATTATTGATGAATTAAAATTAGTTGACTGGCAGCAAACACTACAACCTTGCTCTAATGTAAACGAAATGTTTGATTCATTCTATTCTACAACGTCTGATATAATTAACAAGACCATCCCGCTGAGAAAGCTCTCACGCAAGGAGATTAAATTTAATAATAAACCTTGGAGAACTAAAGGATTAAAAATCTCCATCAGAGAAAAATGTAAATTGTATAAACAATATTTGAAAAACAGAAATGCAAATATATCACTTAAACATAAAAATTATAGAAATGATTTAAACTCCTTGTTGAAAATTGCAAAACAAAATTATTATCAAGAATATTTCAAAGCAAGCTTAGGCAATTCCAAAGCTACTTGGAAAGGTATCAGAGAATTGATCTCATCAAAGAGAAAAGATGTATGTGCACCTTTTAAAATTATAAAAGATAATCAAGTCATAAATGAGCCTAGCAAAATTGCTGATGAATTTAATGAATATTTCACTGGTATCGGTGAGCATTTAGCCTCCAACATCCTTTCACCAGAGGGATCATATAAATATTTTTTAGAAAAACACATGAGGAATAGCTTCTACTTAAAAGCCACATCAACTGAAGAAATAAGCAACTGCATTCTTTCCTTAAATGGGAAAAAAGCAACTGGACCCTACAGTTTACCCATTTACATCTTAAAAAGCTTTCATGAGATAGTGTTACGCCACAAAATGTAATAACTCGCACAAAATGCAATAACAACGCAAAATGTAATAACTTTTGACGCAAAATGTAATAACTTCAATAACGCATTTTAAATATCCAGAAAATCAATATTTGCTCGGTATACGAACCATACCAGATGACAGATGACTAAGATAAATATTCATGTTGAATACGCGATTTCAACGTGTGGATTTTACAAGGCAAGTCCACTCACTCCAACAGTAGTATATTTGAGGGGAAAATCAGCAACTCTTCATAAATATCACCAATATCAAGCCAACTCAGGATCAACATACTTCAATTATTTTAATGATTGAAGTATGTTAAAACTATGCTATTGAATCCCGACATGTCTCATGGATAAGGGCTAGTTTATTATTCATTATTGCATAGTTAATTGACTATGGCGCGCCAAACTAGACAAAAATACTTCTTCAAGAAATATA